TCCACATGTGCAACATCTTTGTGAAGAATAGAGGCTCCTTCCACATCGTCAAAGAGTAGCTTCTGCGTGGTCGGCTGGTTGTTTAAGAGTGTAGGTGCACAAGAATGAGAAAAGGCTTGTAGTCATGGATTCAGGAAACCCTTGCAGAGTGATGCACTTAAATGGCACAAGTGAATTCAGAAAATTCTGCACCATGAATGTTGAGGACATGCATGGTGGAGAAAATGAGATTCATATTCATTGCTATGTGTTAAATGACATGGTTCTAGCTAGCCAGGATCCCTGACGAGTCGTTCTATTTTACAAATATAATAATATTATATGAGGAACCTTCTAATATTAAATTTTTGGTGATAAATTAACTTCACCTTGGGTGCAAATGTCCATGCTTATGTGTGCAAAATCATTCAATCAATTCCTCAGTCATTCAGTTTAGTCACATACATGATACCATGCCACAGTGGAATTGCTTTTAGGTACATAAAGCAATACATTAAATGATGAATTGTAAATCAGAAATTTAGAAAAGCGTTAGGTTACCGGGCAAGCCCTCGCTTAGCCTGGTCCAGCAAGGAAGCGTAGGATTCGGTTCCTGGGCAAGATTACCTCGTTACCGGCGAACATTCAAATAGTTACCGTCCCATTAGGAAAAAGGTGGCTATCAAAGCAATTTGGTGTCACCAGTGCTTCATCCCGATCCTGCTCCATATTTCTTCGCCTGGCTCTTGGAAAAATGCGTGGCCTCTTCCTGTGTCAGCCTCTTCCTATGTCAAGTTGTTTGCCTGTTATCTCAGGATGTAGACCAAGAAGATATGAAACATGGATCAACACACTGTAAACAACAGTAACTAGGTTCTCGGACAATGCGGCCATGGGTTTTCCTGGTACCACTCATTCCTAGTTAGAACGGTACATGTGATGTGTATGTGTCTTCTGTTTGGTTGTCGGCTTCTCATATATCTTTGCTCGATTAATCAAGGGCTCAGCCCAAAGGTGTCATCACTGAAAAAACTAGCGCGCTATAACGTCGTTAATAGCGTGTAGAGAATTGCTATGCTAAATTAAACTGTGTACAATGTCTCGCTAATAGCACGTTATAGCGCGCTATAGCACGCTAATAGCATATTTCAGGGGCCGCGCTATTTTTTTCATTGGGTGTCATAAGTGTGTGTATATATTAGGTGTCCACAAGGCTAACATGTTTTTTTTTCCGAAAAGGACAAGGCTAACATGTACCGTAATGTATTTGTGTACCGTATAAACAATGTCCTTTGCACATATTAGGGGATACAATTACAATTCCTGGAGGAAAAAAAGATGATGACGATGCGTGCGGCGCCTGTGGCGACCGCCGCGAAGATGGCGGCCTCCGCCGGCCCTGGGCGTAGGCACGTCGGCGGCCGGTTTTGGGCGCTTGCGGATTCAGAGGATGAAGATGATGACGACGGGATCTGGGTCGGAGATTCGCCGGAGTTGTATTCGCCAACGACTTCCGACATAATCTGTGAAGCTTTCAATCCCGGTTATTCGGAGGAGGAAGTTGCCATGGTTGTGGACGACGTCGTGCCTTGCAACGATCCGGCGCGGGAGGGACTTAACCCTGAGGATAAGGTGGAGATCGTTCGACGGATTGTTCACCGGAGGACGGCGGCTTCCGCGCTCCGGCCATGGAAAGGACCAATTCCCAAGGTATGCCTCCAGCCCATTACTTTGTCGGATTTCTTCCTGCCGGATTCGTGGACGCGGGTGACTAGAAAGGAGAGACGGAATGGCCGGCCGGTGGTGGCGCAGCCGGCGTCGGCAACCTCCGCGGCGGCTCAGATACGAGCGGCCAGGGAGCAGCGTTTGAATCTGCTGCTGGGCTTTCCTGGGCCGGCGGGTGAGCGGGCCTGCGTTGGCATGTCTGGGTATGTGGCCCAGCATGCCAGCTGCGAGGCAGGGCGGGCCGGATTGAACGATCCTGGGCATGAGGCCCAGGTAACATCGTTAGTCGCTACGGAGGACGTAGCCGCATCTGTCTCGCCGCCTCATTCTCCTCCTGATCGATCTCCACCTGCGCCTGCGCCTAGGGTTCGTCGAGCTCGT